ACAGTTTGATCGTATAGGCCTATATATTTTTTTTTCTAAAAGAATATTAAATAAAACATACTCCGAAGCGTTCGGAGATGATGCTGAAATAAAGGTAGGTCTTTTTATGGTTATTAGAAATGCATGAATTCTTCAGCTAGGTGGTTTAACTGAATGTAGGTAAGAATGGCCCCGGAAAAAATGGCCCCGGAAAAAATGGCCCCGGTAAAAATGGCCCCATATGACAGGTAGGTAACAGGTAGGTAAGACTGCCCCCAATGAAAAATTCGGTAATAGAAATGATATATTTTTTTTTTAATCTTCAAATATTTAAGTAATTTATAAGCAAGAATTGAATCAAGAAATAAAAAATGGCCCTCAATTATAAAATTCAAGAAAAAAAATTAATAATAAATAAATAAATAAATGCTGTAAAATACCCTGTTGCAAAAATTGAATTAATAAATCAACATAAAAACCTACACATAACAAATAAACTGATTCAGTCAAACCCACACTGTTTATCTAGTTAATCTGCTAAGAAGGGCTAATTATTGCTTAGCTCCATTGTGTAATTTATAAGATATACCGGTACTGTATGAAATTGTATAATCATGTTGTCTCTAATTGACATGGAACAAAGTAGGCCTACCTAAACCTAGGGTCTAGGCCTATTTCCAGTGGCGGGTTTGTGGGGGGTGGGCGTACGTACGCCCCCTCCCCCCATATTTCTAAAAAAAAAAAAAAAGAAAAAAAAAAAAGAAAAGAAAAGAAAAAAAATTACACCCACAGTGTTTAAGTCTTCTTTCCTACCAAAAACACCCTAGGAAAATGTTATTCATAAATCCACTTGGTGAGAAATAAAACACTTGTAATTTACTCAATGTTTATATACAGTAGCGGATTTGGTTGTTTGACGAATTTTTTTAACGGATTTTGGATAATATTAGTTTTCCTTTTTGCTGGTTTTGTGATTTTTATGTTCGATGTTGATGAGAAACTTCATGTTTTCTAGAAGTCAAATTTCTCTTTTGAAATGGTGTACATTTCTGAGCCTTTGCATGTTATCAAAAATTATGTTTGAGATGTTCGTGGAAGAGGCACTAAAACCCACAGCTTTGAGTAGATAAATTATTATTAATTTAATAATACATTTCGTAGTTGCATATTGCACCAGTATATTAACATTTCATTTAAAAGACATACACCTATTTTTTTTTTTTTTATTTGTTACTGAAAACTACGGTACCATGCGCTAGATATTCAAAATCGACTCAATACAACCTCATATTCCTCAAATGTGCTGGGCTTCAAGGGAGCTTCTCCCCCTTCCACCCCCACCGGGGGTCTGCCCCTGGACCCTGTCGGGGGCCCTAGAGACCTACCGGGGGGCCCAGCATAAGGCTGCTCGCTTCGCTCGCAGATTGCGCCTCCCACCTTTTCTGGCAGGCTGGATCCGCCCCTGAATTCATTGATATTTTTGCACCATAAGATTAATATGATATTGCCAAAATAATTAAGACACTTAATTTTTTCACTATTTCTTGCTTATTGCTAATTTTTATTTTTTTATTTTTTTTTTTTGCTTGTGTAAAACCATCACAAAAACATTTGGCCAACGATAGGGGAGGAGCGATGTGTCCCAGAACCTCTTAAGGGGGTCCACGGGGCAAAGTCCGGAAGCTCTAACAATTTAGTGATTTTCAATGCTAAGGCCCGTAATCAATCGTACAGCCTCATATACTGTAAAGGTTACATATGATTATTTTTCAGTAACGAATGCGTTTAGTTCTCCTTTGACAGTCACTCTGGGAATCTGCCTCCGCAACTGGCACCACTACTTAATGTCAATTAATTATTTTGTTGGGAGCTGACGGTTTTAAGTAGCACGATTAAGTGGTGAAGCATTATTAGGTTGTTTACAGGCCCGTATGTTCTTGGTCCAGAGGCCGAGAAGCTCTGAAAAAAAAAAAATAGCATTTTGAGGCAGTATTTATTAGATTTCTGTAACCCATAATTTACCTTGGATTCAAACTATCGATCGCGACCCAAGTTAAAGTCACCAAAATACTTTGCAGGGCCACTGGACGTTTAAATTGTCGGAGATTGATATTTGTCATGTCCTTCCTTTCTGACATGTCCTTCCTTCCTTTGTGCAAGTTGAACTGTGTGTGAAGTAGCGTTTCCTGAAATGGGCATTTTTTTTCCACAAAGTAAAACTAGATATTTGTTTTCTATCATAATTGACCTTGATTTTTATGTTTGCTTCTCATCGTTTACGCCAGCAAAATACTGTTACATACTCGGGCGTCCTTACGAACAACTTCCTAGTTGGACTAATGCTGTAGGAGTATTATAAAACCAAGTATCAAATTACAGGCAAAATCGTAAACAAAGTCATACAAAGTTTGTTCAACTTAATAGTTTGAAATATGTATTTTCTCTGTAATTTCAACCCATCCTATTCACCAAATACCAAATATTTAAAGATGTCCCTTGCTGCTGTCAGAAAATAATAAAAATTAATTTTGAAATCAACTTGCTCATTTTGCAATAACATACAAATAATTAACTTGTACATAGAAATGATTGAATTTAAAAAATGTGTACCCTGATTTTTTAATTAGAAAAATATAATAAAAGTAATAAAACACTTCCAGTGACTAGAAGTGTTTCTATTATTTTTCGCTGTAAACTGATGGGTAGATATATATCTGACTCTTATACACATCTAGATGTGTATAAGAGACAGGTTTATCTAGTTAATCTGCTAAGAAGGGCTAATTATTGCTTAGCTCCACTGTGGCTCCACACAGTAGGCCCTATTG